CCTCAGACCCCCCCAGACCCCCCCAGCCCTTGCACTGGGGCGCAGCACTGGCTGCGGGGTTTGCACAAACTGGTGTTTGCTCCTCTCTGGAACGAATGCAGGGCCTCAGGATCCTCGCAGCCCCCACGGCGTCGGCTTTCAGCTCCACCGAGACACAAAAAAGGAGGGAAAGGTGGAAGATGGATGCTCGGAGCACCCCCAGCCTGGCCACCCTCCCCCAGGACACAAAAGCCTCTTTGAGGACTGATTTTACACCGCTCCTGCCGATATGCCTGAATTAGCATCAGCAAAGGGAGCTGCCGCCACGGACGTTGTCGGTGCTGCTGTAAAGTCACTGAATTAACGGGGCGCCTCGGCCCTGTGCCCGGTGAGGGGGTGCCAGGCCCAGCACGATCCCCCTACACCCTGGGGGGGACATTTCCTTGACTTGGCAGCCGTGGCACGGGCCAAGCCGGAGCCCAGCCCGGGACAACCAAGCTCCCACCAGTCCCGCAGCTGGGGGACCCCATGGGCACTGCGGCCGGGGACCGACTCGGGGACTTTCTACCTCTGGGCAATGCTGGGGGGCAGCTGGCGGGCCGGGAGCCTGTCTATGACCGTTCCCCCCTGAGAAGTTTCCCATTTTGCACAAAGGCGGCGGCGGGCGGCGGCGGGCATTGTCCGGGCTGCATCGCATTACCCAGGGCTCCCGGAGAAATCACTTGTATTTCACGCTCCATTGAGCAGCTGCCTGTATATATTTTCTGTGTTGCACTTTTAGCATGACAAAAGGAGAGGGCCTGTGAACTCCTTGCTCTTCAGACCTCTCCGACATGTCCCCTGAGCGGAGCCCCCCTCGGTTAGCATAACAAACTGCCACGTTCCCTCCGACGTGCTCCGGGTCCCTCCCGGCCCTTTCCCCTGGGTAATTTAATGTATAGCTCAATATTTGGGCGTCTGGGTCGCTGGCGGTGGCGGGCGAGCGCGTGCTGGGGGGGTTCAGAGGCAGGGGTTTCGGCGAGGACATCCTTCTGATACATCACAGGGGAGCCGGCCCGGCCCCAGTCACCCACCCTGTGTTTAACTGGTCACCAGAAACACTGGTGGGACCTCGCAGCCCTTCCCTGGGGAGGGGATGGAGCTGCGGCAACCAGCCCCGCAGCTCCAGTGCTCCGATGCTGAGTGAGCAACCGGAGCCACCAACCTCTGCCGTGACGCTGTGCATCGTCCCCTGTCTGCTCCTGGAGCTGCAGGTCTCCGGCCTTTATTTTTGCCTTGAAATTTGACTTAAAGACAGAAAAACTGGGGCTGCAGGGCTGGAATGAGTCTCAGGACCAGCGGCACCAGCTGGGGTTGCAGCAACCAGTCAGGGCACTGGGAGCCGGTGGTGGCTGGGTGTTTGTCCCTCCCAGGTCCCTGTTTGCACAGCCTGACCCACCCGTCCCCCACTGGGCCCCTCACCCCACCCCGGGGAGCCCTGAGGACCGGCAAAGTGGGGCCAGACCAGATCCCAGGTCTGGGGTGGAAATGAGGAGAGGAAGAGGGAGTGAGGATGAGGTGAGACGTACCAGTCCCCACACTGTCCCAGCCCAAAGCCGGGCTGGTCCTGCCTCCCCCCAGCCCAAAAGGGACAAGACATCATCCCCTCCAGGACTGGGACACCCTGGGGACACCCCTCACCTCCCGCCATGGGGAAGGAGAGGGCTGGCAAGATAAAAGCTCAGAAACACACCCCTGACACCGAGTCTCACAGGGTCCTGCAAGAAAAAGGGGCAAAATTCTGCTCAAACATCAGCGGCGCAGGGGACACCAGGCTGCGACACAGCTGGGGGCTTTGGACGCCTTTAATACACGTGATATTTCTTTCACTTTCACCTCGTTGAGCTGCAGACCTCGTCTTCCCGATGCCTCAGGCTTGGTGGCAGTGGCTTTGTGTCCTTCCAGCTTCCTGGGATGTCACCTCTTGGTCTGTGCACTCTGTCTGGCACCGAGGTGTTGGGGGGACCCCCAGGTGGGACCTCCTGGGCACGTCTGGCTTCAGCCTTGGGGCTGCTTCTATGGGAGAAGAGGGAACAAGCCCTTACCCTGGGGATGGGAAAAGCTTCTGCACAGATCCTGCCCACGCTTCAAACAGAGCCTTGGATTTCTCCAGCCTGTCTCGGTCCCCTGGACCCCACTCATGTCACCTGTTAATGGGAGAAACTGGTGTGGGCCCAGTCCCAGCCTGGTGAGAACCAGGGCTGAGTCCCCGCAGGCGGGCCAAGAGGTGACTGTGTCACCACCACACCAACTCCCTGCCTGAGTCATTTCTCCTGTCCCTACAACCACAGCCCCCATCCTACCGTGTGCTTGGGGACATTTCTAATGGGGTCTGGCTCCAGCCTCCGGCAACAGGGACAGGCGGGAGTTTGGGGTCAGCGTGTGTTTAAGTGGCTGGTGACACCCTGGGGCGTCTTGAAAGAGGGCAGGTGACTGGGAGCAGGAAAAACCACATCGCTCCCAGTGTATGGCGGGGAGAACAGCTCCCACCCGCTCAGGAGAGGGAGTTGTGTCCTGCAAAACTCATCGAAGTCCTTTAAGATGATGCTCCCAAATCAGTGAGAGTTCTGGGGACACTGCTGTGGGGTTCAGGGGGTCCCCACCTCCAGCCCCGTTCCTGAGGGCTGCTCCAAAAACTCCTCACCGAGAGCTGTGCCTTGTGCCGGGTCTCTTGCGGACAGGCTGGTCCTCCCACCGTCCCCGGGGCGCGCGGTGGCACCTCTTCCCTCATGTCCTCGCTGCTGGTGGTCACTGGCGGGGGGTCCCGATGCCCCGACTGTGGGGTGCAGTCAGCAAAGCCCCCGGTGTGCTGTCGGGCAGCTGCCTGCGGATGAATATACACGGCGTTAGCTGCTGCCTGCGCCAGGGCTGCCGCGGGGTACACAGCCCTCCCCTAATTCCAGTCTCTTCCTGCGTTTTTTCCGCCCCCCATCCCCACCAGCCTTTTTCTTACGCAGCTTTGCAGGGCCTGAGCCCGAATTTGCTCATTAATTGCCCAGTCGGGGCATCCTTGCGTTCTCCTTTCACGTTCAGCCTTCGGCGTTGCTTTATGGGGTGCTAAAGCTGCGCTGACAAGTGCTGCATGGCATAAATCCCCGAGAAGTGCCTCTTCCCGCTGGCTCACCCGGCCCTGATCCCCCCCGCGAGGGCTCTGTCGGCTTTGGGGTTCGGGTCCAGCTCCCTCCTTGCTTTGTGTGGGGTGAGGAATCGGTGTAGACACCCTTTTTTCCCCGAGCCCCCCCCGTCCCCGAGCCCACCGATGCCCTCAGGGATGCACGTGGGGCCCTGCACCCCCCCACCCGTGTGCAGGGGTGCCCAGGCAGGGCTGGGGAAGGCGTGAGCCCGTTTGCAAGTGCTGAGATCGCCTGATGCTCCCGCGTGAAAATTGCTCCTAGAAAAGCTTCTCCTCGACGCTTTTCTGCCGGGGGTTTGCTCCCACCCGGCTGGGGTCTCCCTCCGGGATGCTGCGGGGCCACGGGGGTGCAGGGAGGATGCTCGCTGTGAGGCCAGGCTCCCTGCAAACCCACCACAACCCCACTTCAAACCCTCATCCCGTATCTCCCTCACCCCTCGCCCGCGCTGACAACGTCACATCTGTGCCCCCTCTCAAAGGAGCCTTGTCTGGGGGACACAGATGCCCCGGATCCTCCTTCCCGGGGTCAGCCGTGTTGTTTCCTCACAGGATCGGGGTCACGCACGGGGGCTGCCCACACTTCCTGGGAGCTTGGGGTTCACTGTGGTGCTTGCTCTGCCTCCCCGGAGCCGAGGGGGTCCCTGTCTGCCCCCCACCTCCCCAAGCTCATGGTTTGAGACCTCTCAAGCCGAGCATCCGTGCAGCGCCTGGTGCAGGGACAGCCGGGGCCGGGAGGAGGATCCCATTCCGTGTGATGGGAACAGAAAGGACTCGATCCTGCTGCTACACTCAGTGGGACTTTAATTAATAAACCAAGGTGTGTTTTGGGCAGAAAACTCGGTATTATATATAAAAATGCCCAGCTCATTCCTCTTTTCCTGATCCATGCCCGTGGCTTACGGGGCAAAAAGCGACTTGTTTGGATGTTCCCCCTGACCTTTGCCGAGGTGCAGTGAGAGCCACCAGCATCTTCTCCCTGCTCCGACACAGGGGCGAGACATAAGTGACTCCCAGGGAGCCCTGGGACAATTTGTGGACCCAAACCTGGGCTTGTTGGCACAGCTCAGCACTGCTGGGGCTACTGCCTGGGGGGGTGGAATTACAGCCCCGGTGTGATGTGGCTGTAATGGGGGAACTGGTGTACGCGGGGGAGCCACAATCCACCCTCCCCCGGCTGCCCTGCCCTCGCCAGGCTGGGAACAGCTTGAGTGTCCAGGCAGGGAATTCATTTAAATAAATTTCCATAGGGATTAATTTCGCCCCTTCTCCAGCAGCGTGGGGGAGGCAAGCATGTGCGTGTGTGTGTATGAGAAAAGCTGAGCCTGTCTGGGGGGAGCTGGGGAGACAGGGAGGGTGGGGGGCACCACCCTCCCCCTGCAGCCCCATCCACCCCTAAGGCCCTTCAGCTTCGGGAAGGTTTTGAGCCCGTCCTTGCCCACACACAAGCCCAGCCCGGAGGGTGCTTGGTGCCAGAGACGCTGGTCCCAAGCTGGGGGGGATCATCGAGCGCAAATCATCCAGTGCCCCAAAATTTCAAAACTTTCCAAACAGAGCTCCAGTGAGCCAAGAGTCAGCGTCAGGTGGCCCCAAATACCATCAGGGAGAGAGATTTGGGCTGTGCAAGCTGGCGTGAAGAAAATCCACAGGATTTGCCATGATCCAAAGCCCACAGACACCCCCCCCCAGCACCAGAAGCCACATCCCAGTGCAGGGTTTGCCCCGACCTGGGTCCTTCTGCACCAAAAATCGGCATTTTGTGAGCAGCGTGCTGGGACCCCTGGGCACAAACCCATGGCGGGGCCGGCAGGAGGAGGGATGCAGCGGGGGTTTCTCCCAGCAATTCCCTCCTCAACGCTCCCACCCCACTGAGTAATTCAGCCCACGGGTCCCCCCCACCTCGAGCTTTGCTCACCCACAGCTTCCCCCCACCACGAACGGGGATATCGAGGGCTGGGAAAAACCCTCTCGGAGCGGCCGCACAGTCCGGATGCTTGGAAATCCCAAAGCCTGATTAATTCCATGATGGTTTTCAGCTTTTCCAGCCCTCCCCAGGAACCCCAGCGCAGGGGACACCCTTTCAGCGAGGAGAAATTATAATCCCCCCCTCCGTTAAATGAGTCCAAGAGCATCTAAATGACAGATGCAGGGTGGGTTTTTTTGGGGGGGGTTGGATTTTTTTTTTCCATCCTGCTTAGGATTTGGGATTCAAAGCGTGAGATGGATTCAAATAACTGGGGTAAATAAATCAGGGCTAGTGAACACTTGGAAACAAGCAGAGCGATAGCTATTTTTGGCTGTCAAATTTGGGAGGTTTTAAGGCTCCTTCAGGGCATGAACCGCTGCAAGAATTCGTTACCACTGCAGCAAAATAAAAGCACAGCGAGGAAGGAGTTTCCTTTCTCCTCCCGGGCATGGAGATGGGCAAACCCAGCAGTGCCAGGTCTGTCGGGGGTCTTACACCCACGGGAATGTTGATTTGGGGCTCTGGGATAAAAAATGGGGACTCTGGGTGATTTCTGGAGGGCAAATCCCCACGGAGGGTCCATCCCAGGAACCTGCCATCACTCCCAAGTAGAGGTTTTCTTTTTTTTTTTTTTTTTTTCCCACTGAGGATGGAAATAGCAGAATTCAACCCATTTCTTTGAAAACACCAAGTGGGGCACAGAACGCAGCTGGGCTTTTTTGACAATGAACAAATACCCTTTCCACGTGGATTTTCTGCAGGAACCCCAATGTTCAAGTGACTCACGTGCCCCTTTGGGAACGCGAGGCTGCTGGACAGGCAGCTCTCACTGTGCAGTGCCAACCACCACTAAATCCCCTGTCCCCCCCCATTTGGTTTGGGGCTGCAGCACCCACCAGCACCCAGCCCTGTCCCAGTGTCCTGCACCTTGTTCAAGTTCATTAAAGCAGGGAAGCAAGGAAAGCCGGCGGCCCCGCCAGTGGCTGGGCTCATTAGTGAAATTTTGGAAGCCTGGGCTGCCCCGCAGCTGGGCACGGCTCTGCCTTTAAACCCTGAGAGTGCCAGAACTGGAGACCAGCTTTTTTGGGGTGCACAGTGTGCCCCGAGCACCCTTTTTTTTTTTTTTTTTTAAGAAGAGGCTCTGCATGCTGCACGCCTTCTGTTCCCAGGTAAATCCTCCTTGTTCTGTGTCCCCAGCCCGGCTCAGAGCCCAGAACTGGGACCCATGGTCCATCCCAGGAGGGCAGCCCCCATGGGTACTGGGGACCTGGCCTGTGGGGCAGCACCCAAATAAAAAAATCTGAACTATAGTTTAAGGCAAAGCTCAGCATCAGCATGGAGGTTCTCTGCTCTTTGCCATGGAAACAAGCGTTGCTAAGGGATTGCTTAATAGGGAGTAAAATATTCCAAAAATCTAAGTTTATGTGGCAGCAGGATTGAACCTCCAGTCCTGGGGGTGGATGGGGCTGCCCCGGCCACAGCTCCCACACGCAGCTGAAGGCTCCAGTTCTCCATCCACATGGAGAAAAACCCCAGCACTGGGAGAACTGGGCAGGGTGCTGGGTGATTGGGGTGGGCACGAGCTTCCTGGCCACGTTGGCGTGACCCTGGGGTTGCTCCAGCACGGAGCTGGGGATGTCAAATCTACACCCATTTAAGCATATATGTTATTAAACAGACTCACAAAAGGGTCCCCAAGACACCGCAGAGTGGGTGCAGTGCTGGGCTCTTGCCCAGTGCCTCAGTTTCCCCTCCTGCTGCCACCCATTTCTCCTGGCATCCTCTGTGGGCATGCTGAGCCGGTCATACCCGGTTAATTTTTATTAATTTTACGGTCACAAGGAAAGAAGCTGGGGGGGGAATAATACAAGCAGGGGCCACCTCTGACCTTGACCCCCGTCCTGGCTCCCCGCGGCAGCTGGGCCGTCGCGCCTCCGCCGACAGCTCAATGGGCGCTTTGTCTGCGCCCGCCGGCCCCGCGCAGCCCCGTCGCCCCCAATAATATTTATGGAGTCGGCGGTCACCTTCTCCCCTGCTCCCTGCATCTCAATAACAGCCCGGCTGGGGAGATCCAGGGAATCTGGGGATTTATAGTCCGGAGAGTTGCTGCTCTTTAGTCCCGCGGGGTGTGGAGTGGTGGATCCTGCCCCTCGGATAGTGCCTGCGCATGAATAACCCATCCCCGCTTGGTTTCGGGTGCTGTTCACAGCCCTCCAGCTTTTTTTTTTTTTTTTTCCTTAAAAAGAGCCTGTTTAAAAGCAAACAGATGGGGAGGGGGGAATTTTCTCGCTTTTCCCAACTCTTGCAAAGCCGTTCTGCTCCCAAACCAGCTTTGGGGGGTGGAAAAGGGGGTGAAAACGTGCTGCTGATTTATTTTACTGCGTTTCTGCTCCCTGCTCAATTCCTCCATCAATTAAACCAATCAAAAGCTCCTTTCCAAAGCTCCAGCAAATAATATTTTTTAAGATCCTTCTGCCAGGGATGCTGCAGATGGGTGCAGCCCCAGTACCACCAGGTGTGGGGGGGAATCAGGGTCTGCCCTGAGCCCATTTCTTCCCCCTTGACATCTAGGGAAGAAAGAGGAGGATAGGTGAAGGTGCAGGGCACAGAGATGACCCCGATTTGTTGGGGATTTGGAAAAATCCTGATAAAGGGTAACTTCTCCTTGATGGGTGATTTGGGGCAGGAAAGGATGGGGCATGAATCCAAGCGCCTGTAGTTATTCCAAACTCTACCAAAACCAAGGCTGAAGCCGTGGATCTCTGTGGCTGGGAAATTGGGCCAATGTGGGCTGTTTAGGTTGTTCCCAGATGTTCCAGCTGCTCAGAAATTAGTCATTTGAGTCGGATGCTACCACCACTATTCCCACATGGATGAGAGTGAGAGACTGGCAGCGTGATGGGGAGTTGCCAAGGCTCACATCCAGCCCTGCTTCCTGCAGGGGGGAAAACCAGCCCAGAAATGATCCAGTAAATTCCCCAAACGACTCACTGGACACCCCAGGAATGACACGGCTGGCTCTTCCAACACCTGGGCTGGATCTTCAGGGACCCTAAATCCCCTCCGTGATGTGGAACTGCTCCCTTGGGCAATCCCCAAAAGCACATGCTGCCCCTTCCGTCCTGCAGAATGTGGATTTTTGGGGCGGTTTTGCTGGTCGCTGGGAGATGCCCCAGGATAAAGAAGCCAAACTGGTCCTTTCCCAGCTTTGCCATCATCTTCTGATAAATCCTTTCGTTTGGAGCAAACCAGCCCCCAGCTGATCCCGGTGCTGAGCAGAGCAATCCTCCGGTGCCAGCGGGCGTTTCTGTGCTGATTTGGTGCTTCCTTCTGTCACTCGAGCTGGGAGGTAACGGGCAGAAAGGATGACGGGAATGTCCACAAATCCCTCTGCATGGAAAATCCTCCTTTTGGGCTCTTTAACCCCAGAGCTGCAGGTACCGCTGTGCTTCAAGCAGGGGTTTCCCTAGGGCTGGGGTGTGTGTGTGTGTGTGTGTGGCCCCTCCTGACCCCCAAAACACCACACGGGATAAAGGAGGAGGAGGAGGAGGGATGCTGGGGAAAGCAGAGCTGTGATTTCCACACGCACGCTGAGCTCCCTTGTAGCTGATCCATCAGGGGAACGGCTACAACCTCTGTCCCCCTGTCCCCATTGCACCGGGGCATCCCGGGGAAACACGAGCATCCCTCAGCATCGCCCCTGACCCAGCTTGAGCCAGTGCAAATTCCAGCCTATTTAAAAGAGGAAACAAATTTATTTTCCTCCTCTTCCGCTGGATGCGGGCTGGAAGGCGCCGTGTGGAGCGTCATGTGGAGCCGCCGCTTGCCGAGGCCACAGCGCTGGGGCTGGTTCTCGTGCTGCAGAGCAGCTCCCGTCAGCCTCGAGCGTGTGCGGCTTCTTCCCCTTCCCCTTCCCCTTCCCCTTCCCCTTCACCTTCCCCTTTCCCTTCCCCTTCCCCAGGGCTCGTTCAGGGAAATGCTGCGTGACACCGGCCCTCAAGCGCTGGCGGTTGGAGATGAATCTGGAGTGTCACCTCCTGCCACCGCCCTCGTTCCCGGAGCGGATGAGTGGGAGATTACACACCCCTGCAAAGAGCGGGGTGAGCAGAGGAGGACGGGAAAGGGAAAGTCCTGAGAGGCAAATATAAACTGATTTTAGTGAAGCTGGAGCGTCAGAGCTCCTTTCAGCCAAGGGTTTGTGTCGCTCTCCACGCAGGGCAAGAGTAGGCGGGTGCTGGCAGGGCTGGGGGTGGATGGATTTTGAGGATTCCTCCGACACTGTGGGTTTAATCCGGGTGGGAACCGGGGATTTGGTTGCAAGAGGAGGGTGGTTGGTGCCCAGGGAGAGCGGGGTCGGGGGGGGGTGCGCTGCTCACCGAGGGATGCCCAAGCAACAGCTGCCACGAAGCCCCAAACCCGCCCGCGAAGGGTCG